CCAAGATTCAAACTTCAAATAAGAGGTATGTAAAGACAAGTGAAATGAACCAACATTTTCAGTGTCTGTGTAAAAACATCCTCAAAGTCATTAAAGGAAGAAAATGTTTTTCAATAAAAATGCAGCTCTATAAATTAGCACCTTAAGTTACTGTCCTTCTAAAAGTTGGTTCAAAGCTCTTCATGTGTAACCCACACTGTATATTGACAAAAATCATCCTGTTTTAACAAATACTACTAAGGTAAACAAAACAATTAAGCTCATACTGAGCCACCGCAGACCCAAGTAAATGTTCCCACAAAACCCCATCATAGCATCATGCAACACTGCAGTATCATGATTGTGAGATGATCACTATTATGTTTATGTTACATCTAGGGACACAATGGAAGAAAATTAAGGGCTGCAAACAGAGCAGTACCACTTCCCCCTATTTCTCACAATTGATCATTTATCACTAGGAAATACAATTAATTCACACAAAAGTCTCACCTTCATTTTAGGATTGGTAATGATGGAGTTCAAACTGTAGAAAGATGGCTTAGAATTTGTTGTGTCCTCACCAGCTCTTGAAGAAAATAATTTCTTGACACTTATGAAAGGAAAATTTTTGTGTAAAAATAATGAAGAAATGAATTAATGGTACCATCATCATTATGTAAACAGGTGGGAATACCACTCTGAGAGTTAAATTGGAAATTTTATCCATACATTAAAATCATTTTGCTTGTAACCAAAAAGAAGATTCTGAACTTTTCAACTGCCTGTGATCGTTTGTATTATGTGAGTAATTTGTGTAATAAATGATAAAAGAATCACTGCCAATGATTTGTTTCTTTTAAAAACAATCCACCCCTATCTACCTTTCATGCCACATCATCCTAACTAGATATGATGCCACCCCATCACTCTCTCCTGTTAATGCCAGTTCAACTGGTAACATGGCTCTTTTGTGGGATCCTAGTTGACTTCGAGTAAATCCAGCAAGCAGTGGAGGACATCTCTTCACAAGTGTTTTGGTAACATGTAAAAACCCAAGTTCTGCAGCATAGTGTAGTAACGTCTTCTCTGTTTTGTCTCTTTTATCTCTAAATGACTCATATCTATTGCCTGAATTCAGTTCACTTTCCAACAGAACCCCCAAAAGTTGATTTACCTGTAAAAACATGACAGAACAACAGGCCTATAAAGCTGCACCTTAATGATATTAACTCCTAAGGATGTATCTCCTATTTTATGTCTCTTATGTACCCTTTCTTACATATTCATTTAAGATGATGCTACACTGTCAAATTGCAAAATATTTTTAGGGCTTTTGTGTCTCTCTTAATGGCATCTAACTGCAATCATTTAACACAGTAATAACATACCAGCTTTTCAAGGCCTGGATGTTTGTCAGGTCTGTTTTTGTACTGTGTTGATGCTGGCCACTGTTTTAGCATCACAAGAGCTGGATCCTCGCTATCGAGTTGCCCACATTCCTTGTAGTTTTGAATCATTCTTTCAACTCGCACCTCATTTATTGCTCTGCTCCATGATAATCCTTCGTTCTGCTTTTCGTGAACCTTCCGATTAACATTGCAGAGAGTTAGGTAGACGACACCGTTTTATTAGCAATAATTGTGGCATTCTACGCATTAAACACAAGCAATATTCCTGGAAATGACACTATCGCTTGCCTCTCGTGGAGGCGCTGTTAAACTCTCTCATGCTTCGTTAATTATTTATAGGTAACAAACCGTTTTAGGGCCAAAATTACTCATACATGTCCAAAACACGCTCTTTAGTATTCTTCAACAAATATTTCAGCAAACAAAACAAACTGAAGTATTGGTGCGAATTGAACAATCGAAGCGGTTGCTGAAATAAAATTACGGATAGTGAGTTACTACAATTACCTATTGTAGTAACTTGGCATGTAAAGAAACTGACAAACGAGAAAACAAAATAAAGGGAAAAAATACATAAGGTTTAATTCTTAACGAATAAGAACAAATGGCTGGTTAAAGACAATGTAAAACGAAACAGGAAAACGATCCAGCGCAGTCAAAAGATCAAGCCGAATGAATAAAATCTACGGTAAAGAACGCATACGAATAACAAAAACAAAGGAAAATTATGTGAAAAAAAGGAACAGTATATCAATGAAAGTAATTTAGGTAAAAACAACAGAACTCAATTTATGAGGGCGCAACGAAAGGAGAGATACCAATTCTTAACGAATAACGTTAAATAATTTTGGCCGCAACGAACCACCTAACGGTGCAAATAATATCTCTCCACCACTTGGAAACTTTTGACTGATGAAGGCCGCTCTTCACCTTAATCCAGAACTCTCTTGATGTTGTGAATTCAACATCCAGCAGATCGCCGTGGTTATCATCTTCAGTTGGAGGACCTTGACTCTCACGTCTATTGCTATCGTCACCATGCTGTAACAACTTTTCTTTTCCCATTTCTAAACAATTCATCCTCATCTAGCACATCTCGAGGATGTATTTGTCACAATGTTATATTTTGGCAGCAAAAATCTAACGGATAATTTACCCCTCGAGCCTTGTAGCAAGCTGCGCGAGAAAGCTTCTCAGCAACGTCGGGGAATTGTACGGGCTGACGCCGTCCAGTAAGTTCATAAGGAAACTGCGAGCGGAGCCATTGGTGAACGTATCCGCTTGCTAATACCGTGTGTGTGTGTTTTAACAGGGGTATCCCCGTATCCAATTTCGGTGTCCCCTCTGGGGATATTCCAGAACGCTATAAGTGAAGTAAACAGGAGACTGGGGCAAGTAGTATGGCGTCTCGTCTAATGTTGACTAGTTGTGGACTTGTAAACTACCTTTTGAAATCAGAGAAATTACTTTCTTTAATTAAATAACTCCAGAAATGTCCGTCAGGATGGCATTTAAAGCAGGAGAACTATAATACGTCCTTTGAAGCGTTGAGAAAAAGAGCTATGAATCAGAAGAAATGGTTCAGTTGCTTCGCTCGTAAGAGTTATACCATATCACGAGTCAAGTTCGAATCCGAGTCATGTTAGAGTCACAAGTCAAGTTCGAGTCAAATCAAATTGTTTTCTTCTTTCCTGCCTTTATTTTTTTTCCCGCTGTAATTGTTGTTTTTGTTTTGATTTTAATGAATTCTACATCCAGCAGATTCCCACGGGTACGGGGTCACTCAAATACTCTAGCAGCGCCCAAAACTCCGCATCTCAGGACTTAAAAAAATTACTGTCGCTGCCTTGTTAATATTTTGATTACACAGGATTTTGTAAATTCAAGACTTTACCCCAACCCTCTCCCGATCATCAGAACAATCATTCCCTAGAGACCCAGTGGCAAATAATTGGGCGAGAGCGAAATAATACAGTACGTCCGATTCGAGGCGGTTGTTTACTTGATGGGTGTCGCACCGAAACCGCTCTTTAATTATTCTCTCGCCCGCTTATTCAAAGGTTAGGATTAGCCAACAAAATCAATAAACTCTCCAAAATAGTTCACTTCCCAGGTGCCCTAGTCTAAAGTGGCGAGGCCTTCTTTTTAAAATTTTCAAGCTTTTTTTTTCTTTATTTTGTTGCCGTTTCTCGGGTGAAGTTTTAATATTCATGAAAACGACTCTATAATTACTTCGTTGAGCAATGATTTTGGAACGAGAAAATCAGCAAAGGGATAAGAACAGTATTCACGCTGTTAATCATCTAGAGGTCAAAAACACGAAAGAATGTAATCGCTTCTCTTCTTAAGGCGTGCTTTGCTTATTACACAAAGAAAATGTATTTCATGATACATTGTGTTCATCTCAGCGGGTTTGAGATGCTTAATTGAAACCTGAAGATTCATTCGCAGTCTTTGCTGCTTATGCATGGCGTGGATAAAATTCCTCAAAGGTTGCCATTTTTCAAGCATATTTCACATTCATCACACACGCACTTTTCACGCATTTGCTTCTAATAAATATTGCGGTCACTGAAAGTTTAAAATTTCTTTTCGGCGACAGGATCTGGTGTCAGTGCAGATATTGAAAGGTTGGTCTCCGTTTTTTCATCTCCTTCTCACTCCCTTTCCCACGTTCTCTCGAAGCTTTCCAAACTTCTTGTTGCTGATTACGTAAATCACATTCGGCTGCTTTTAAGGTCTCAAAACATAGTTCATTTACACCTTTTCCAAGCCTATTGGACGAAAATGAAATCCGTTATTGTCCTGAACACCGAGAGCGAAGGTAGTGAAGCTCATACACTGAAGAACTATTTACGGGGAAAGATGCTTACGTTAGCAGATTTGAGAGGTATCATTGATTCTTAGCTGAGGACCTGGATTTTGAAAAGCAATTTCACCGTAGTGACTGCGTCCTATTGATTGGTTCACACCAAGCCTCGTCCCTCATTCAAAACAAGCAGCAAGAAACCGAAGGTGACTACATCACTTTTGATGGAAAGTTCATACATGAGCAGCTCACAAAAAACAAAGAGCTTGTTAGGGACAAACTCGTTATGGTTTTCTTGACGGAAAGAAACGAGAGTGATTGAATCCCAAATGGCCTAGATCAGAAAAGAATATTTGATCTGCATAACGAAAAAATTCACAGAGGTAATCCCGCCCTAAGCCACCTTGAATATACCATAAGACGAGTACTGGGAGAGACAATGGTGGACTGGTGAAGAGACATAGTTTCGTCCTCTCACGGCAGAAGGCAGTTACCACTTGTGCTTGTTGAGTTGGAACACTTACTAAATGTAATAGAAACTGCGAAGGAAAGTGTTTTGATAGTTCGATTGAGTTAGAGATAAATTAAGTGGTTCATTTTAGTCGACGAAATAGCATATCATGATTGAATTTATTTGTGATAAGAAATGTTCCTCAGTAAAAGCACCTATGAATGAAATGACATTTGTTTATTTAATAAAAAGAGCAAGTTAATCTGAAAGTATTTAGTAAGTGATTGTTATAACAAGTAAAACAAATTTATTGTCGTCGTGTGTTCTGATTGGATTAACATACAAAATAGCTTGCGATAATTTCATGCCAGAGAAATGTTAACTCATTCAAACATAATTAGTATGTACCAAGTAATTTAGTAAGTAAAGTATACCATTCTGGTTGTGTGTGATAAGCAGTTCCTTGCACTCCACGACTATTGGAAGAAGGATGCAAGAGAATATGAGTGTGGAAGAAAAAAAATTAAATTGTTAAGAAAATGTTACCTCTTGCTCTTTTTTGTTTGTTTAGTTTTGTTTCTGCGCCTAGTGTGCCACTTTTTGTTCTTACCACATTTTTTGACAACATCTCGTGATCCACTACTGAGAAAACACGATGCCATAGAATCTATTTGTTAATTCTTTAATGGCTTCTCCCGTGTTAGCTTAATAGCTCTACATAGTTTCTGCCGACAAATATATGCAGGATACATATATAGACGCATTAGTGAGAGAAGACTGCATTTCATCGGAACGACATGATGGTCTCAATGGGGTGGTGATTTTCACGGCTAGCGTCTATGATTTTGGCCAATTTACGGCTAACGAATAATATCTTTCTACTGTTGTCACAAGCAATTTTTTTTGACGGTTATCTTACTTTGCGTCTAACGGTTAAAATTTGTCAATTTTTACGCCTATCGGCTAAATTGTTTTAGCCGTTTTGCCCCTAACGGTTAACCCCATTGAGACCCTCTTACATAATAAGGACTGACAGAGCAGATATCACAGGAATTGCTCGTGGTAGGAGTTTTGCTTCCTCTTATTAGTGATAGTGAAGGCGATGCACACCCACAAACCCCAGAACAAAATAGCATATGTAACTCGTGATGCAAATGACAATTCGTAGCGGCAGTTTAAGTAAGTAAACGCCACAAAGGAAGCCCTTATCCACATATCTTTTGTAAACTGAAAGGAAGTCTTAAATGATCAGGAGCAGGCAAGTGTTCTTAAGACAAATTTCACTCATTTCACGACATTTAAATAGCAGGAGGTACGAAACAATTGCCTATTAAAAGCAAAATGATAGGGATGACACAGAATCCGTCCAAAATTGGTAATTGCCGGATTTTGGATTGTATCCGGCCAGGAGGCTTTATACTATATTTAAATTACCATGTCTAGTAATGACTACGATGGCTCCCGCACATTTCTGGCAAAGATCATGTTCGACAACAAGCGAGCCAGCCAAACACACTAAACATCGCCCAATACAGTTAAATAATGTACAGTGCTCTGACCGTGCAATTTGCAACAGTTATTCTTTATTTAATTATATACCATGAAGGTTATTGTAATCACCCTAAGTGAAGCACTTACCATCGCTGTTACTTTACTTCAACTCTTCCATTTAAAACCGTTCTTTACGGCTGAATGACTGGTTAATGAAAAAACCGGAAAAAGTTAGTCTATGGAATTAGATCCTCTATAAGATAAAACAATTTCCCATCATTTCCTCTTGTTCCTCTTCAAGTTGCATACGCTCTTTTTTATTATTATTATTATTTTTTTTTATAAGAACCTCTTTTATGAGAACTTTCAGGCTGAAAAAAACTAAAATTTTAAGAACATAAGTGTAACATCCCCAAGCTGAGAGTCAGATAAGAAAGACTTCATTTTGCCCATTTTTTGCGTGAGAAGAATAAATAAAGGTAAAAGAAATATGGGCTTGTGGTCTACCGTGAGGACAACTAACTAAAATAATTAGAGAAATTTCTGAGATTAGCTAATTGAGATATTACACCACACAACTTTAAGAACATATTAGGAACGTTTTCAGGCTCAATCGCAGTTTAAATAAAACGGTCAGCCTCAACCCCAACGTGACGTTCTCATAAAAAAGTAGTGTATCTGTGGACAGTAAATAGCTCAGAGGTATGTTATTAAATTTCTGTTTTGATAAAGTAAACAGTACGTATTTCTATATGCGCGATTTCCAGCGATTCAATTCATTACATTTAAATTTGTTTTTCTACTGAGTCGTGTTCAAGGGTTTTGAACACGTACGACTAAATACTTAAAAGACAGATTTTCCTAGCATGCAGGAACAATATCTGCTCTTAATCACCCTCCCCTCTCCGGTTATAGAGTTTCAAAAGAATCTGCTCATTTAATTAGTCAAAACGTATTTAGAGGGAGTTTACTTGCCGTGTAAATGAAGTCACATAAGTGGGCCGGCCAGGTTCAGAGGATAT